TATCATTTTGAAGTTTGTGCTTTACAAAACTGATCCATGACCAGAGATCCAAATGAAGTATGACATCCAGCTTTGCCTCTGCTTGTCAAGCTGTATGCTGTGATTCAGAAGGGAATCTTTTCCTAATTTGTCCACTTGTAGTAGGAGCAATATGCACTCTGCCACCAGAAGGAGGCACCTTTTCCTAACTAGCACAAAGGACTTATATGCCAGCAGCAACCTATAAATAAGTTAGTAGTAAATAGTCGATTTGTACATACATAAATGCTTTTTTTACACAAATGGTTGCTATAGACTGAATGTGTCTGCTCAAAATTCATATGTTGAGGGCCTAACCCCCAATGTGACAGTATTTGGAGATGTAGCCCTCACAGTGGGAGTCATGCCCTTATAAGAAGAGACACTCAAGTACTTGCTGATTCTCTCTTCACCATGTGAGGTCACAGCAAGATGGCCCCACTCTGCAAGCCAGGAAGAGACCCCTCACCAGAACCTGACCATGCTGGCACGTTGATCTTGGGTTTCTAGCCTCCAGAATAGTGAGAAAATAAATTTCTGTTGTTCAAGTCACCCAGTCTATGATATTTTGTCATGACAGCCCAGGCTAACTAATACAGTGGTATTATATTGTTAAATGTATTGTGATTTTTGTTGCTGTTCTTAAACTTGATTTTATATAGGTACATACAAAATAGATAGCATGTATGTGTATGCATTTAAAAACAATAAAAGCAATGACTTTTAGAGAAGAGACTACATGAGGGTAGTGGTTAAGGGCACTTTTGCTTTAACTTTAATTTTTATAATAATGTCCTCATTTTTACGTTTTACTTAGAATATTTTTAAAATATTCATTTAAAATGTACCTATATATGTACTACATAAAATCTTTAAGAACAGCAACAAAAACCTCAATTTTTTTTTTTTTTTTGAGATGGAGTCTCGCTCTGTCATCCAGGCTGGAGTGCAATGGCATGATCTCGGCTCACTGCAACCCCAGCCTCCCGGGTTCAAGCAATTCTCCTGCCTCAGCCTCCACCTCCTGAGTAGCTGGGATTACAGGTACCACTGCCACCAGGCCTGGCTAAAAAAGCACAATACATTTAATAATATAATAACATTGTATTAGTTAGCTTGGGCCATCATGACAAAATACCGTAGACTGAGTGACTTGAACAACAGAAATTTATTTATTCACTATTCTGGAGGCTAGAAGCCCAAGATCTAAGTGCCAGCATGGTCAGGTTCTGGTGAGGGCTCTATTTCTGGCTTGAAGTGTGGCCTTCTTGCTTTAATATTTTGAGAAAAAATACGTTAGTATTTCATGATGTAAAAGTCAATTGATAGGAATCACTTATATTTAATGAATACTTACTGTGTTCCAGGCAGTGAATATGTTACATTCAATGTATCATTTGATCCTTGCAACAATCTTAAGAAGTAGATACTGTTTATATCCTCAATGTACAGATGAGGAAACTGAAGCACAGAGAAGTTAAATAACTCATCCAAAGTTCACACAGCTATAAAGGATAGAGCCAGTATTCTAATGTCAACCAATTCTAGAGCCTTCCCTCTTAATCTCAATGGCATGTTGAGAAATAAAAATAGGGTATTAGAAGGTTAGTGGAAACTTGGGCAAAAACAATTTCGATAAAATGAAAAGGGCAAAAGACATATTCTAATAGATTGAGAAGGTAAATGTAATTAATAAAACAATTATATGTCTTTTTTTAATGTTGAACCACATGAAATTGCCAATACTCAACCATTTTGACCTACCAAAATGGAATTTTATGTGGTTCAACCTAATATATAATTTTATTTATTTATTTTTGAGATGGAGTCTTGCTTTGTTGCCCAGGCTGGAGTGCAGTGGCGCGATCTTGGCTCACTGCAAGCTCCGCCTCCCGGGTTCACGCCATTCTCCTGCTTCAGCCTCCCGAGTAGCTGGGACTACAGGTGCCCACCACCATGCCCAGCTAATTTTTTGTATTTTTTTTTTTTTTAGCAGAGACAGGGTTTCACTGTGTTAGTCAAGGTGGTCTCGATCTCCTGACCTCATGATCCGCCTGCCTTGGCCTCCCAAAGTGCTGGGATTACAGGCGTGAGCCACTGTGCCCCACTGAATATTGTTTTCAAGAAATATAATCTTAGAATTTAAAAATAGAAAAGGGAAGTAAATGACAGAAGTTTTCAAACCCTCAAGGATATGTGTGTGTGTTCTGAACACAGATCTGGAAACTGCTTCAAGCCAGCTTATTCTGATATGGAAAAAAGTGTCCGTAGTTAAAATATCAAACACAAGGTTTATGAATTGTATTTCAGTAGTACAGAAAAATGTTTTAACCAATCAACCAAATTTCTTAGTGCTATGTAGTTATGAAAGAAGACAACTTCCGGTTACTATCAAAAGCAAAACCTATCAGTAATTTTGTATGTTGAACTCTATCTCCCTAAGTCACAAAATGAGGAATATACTTCTATAATATTATAAAAAGTTTCCTGAGAATTATATCTCTTATATATATTGATATTTTAAAGGCCTTTTTCACTGATTTTCCATTGGCAAATAAGCATTGGACTCATAATTATCTGAATCTACAGTATTTTAACATAAGAGTTGAACAAACAGATCATAGGCCCTTAAAAGTTGATTAACTCTGTCCTCAGAAGTTATCCAGTTCAGTTTTACAGAGGACAAAACAGAGCCTATGGAAGTGAAATGACAGACTTTCCCAAGGTCATATAAAATTCAAAGAGTCAAGACTAAAACCTTGGTCTCCGGGCTCCTAGTCTTTAGTACTCTTTTTAGTATCTTATAATATGCCTATTTTTTTCTGTTATGTAATGCAGATTAATCTGATTTTCCTTTTCTTCTTTTTCAACTGAAGTTCTGAATCAGCTAATCTTGATAATTATTGGGACAGGAAGCAAAAGCTGAAATGACTCTGTAATCAAAGAAGCTCCCTGACTATGAGGGATAATTTTAGTGGAAGCCTGTCTCCTAATGCTGGAACTACATATCTGTTCTGTTTTCCCCATTCCTTTTAATTTCTGTGGCTCTCTTTTGTTTTGCTAGCATAGCTTTAGATTGATCAATCTGCCTTTGCCTTGCCCTTTAGTATTTAGCTGTTTGGGAATTCTTATCCACCTCCTTGTTTCTGACCCATGGCCTCTATCCACTTAGGTCTTGGTTTGTGTTTGTTAATCTGGGTTCTCATTGATGGCTTCACCTTCTAACCATTAGCCCTGGCTTTGCTATACTCTCAGTTCTCTCAGTAATAGATTATACTAAACTCTAAAATCCTGAGCTACCTGGGAAATAATGTGCATTTTGTACAGAAAATCCTTAGGAATGCTTAGCATCTATTTGAAACTCCAGATTCAATCTACAACCTTAGTGATTAGAGTTTGAGATAACAGTCACATGGGTCACAAAGGAAGCTTCCTAGATACAAGTGAACCTCATTGTATCCAATGGTTATGCCTTCCAAAGTTATATGTAAGTCTGAGGGGCAATTTTCAAGATAGGCTTTATTTGTTATAGCAATTTTAGGTTCCGAGTGAAATTAAGCAGAAAGTATAGAGTTCCAGGAAATCTTTTTAGAGTGACTAAGGTAAATATATCAGGGAAGATCACTATTTAAAGGAAATTTACTGTGATTTATGATATGAAATGAGAGCTCTCTCTTCTTTATCTTTTGTGAAAATCACTAAGGAGCTAGCTAAATTAGATAACTATGCCAGTTATCAGTGTAATGCCTCACAGCTCCACCCGTCATTGTCTGCTCTCTGAAAATGGAGGTGGACCCTCTATCTGTCCCTTGCCACTGGCAAAATATTAAGCTGTGTCAGAAAAGGGTGCTTGAAGCACACTGCAGAGGAAGGGGATTTCCTTCCTGGTTCATGTGTTTATGCCTTCTTGTTCATACCGTACAGCTGCCAGCAGCACGTGTAGGGGACACAGTGTTGCTGTGTCCATGGAGTTCCAATGGCGCACTGATGGTCAGTCCCATCAAATTTCAAAGGTACTTCTATGGTCAGATTTCCATTGAGCCTTGCAAGCATCTCAGTAATTGGCTTCCAGCTTTGGCCTGCCTGCACCCAAGTTGGGTGTTCCCTGTTTGCCTAGTGACTATTGAGCTAGCTCTGTCTTAATCCACCCGAGAACTTCACCATTCAGAGGGGTCATGACCATAGCTTCTACAGTAAGGTGTGAATCCCAACCATGGAGAGGGCTCCTCAGTTCCAAACTTGGTTCTTCCATGGGAACCCTCCTTAAGTCCTAGGGTATTCTTTAGCATGCTATTTATCTCTTTATATAGAAAGGATTTCCTGTTAGAGTTTATCATTCTTTCTCTTAAACTTTCCCCGTTCAAATTACTATATGTTTTTTGTCTCCTAATCGACCCTAACTGATACAGTAACTTTGGAAAAAATAACTTAAATCTCTTATTGTACTCACATGTAAAATGAGAAGACTAGGCTACTTGATCTCAAATGTCCTTTCTAGGTCTAAAATTACATATTTCTAGGAAATTCCAGTTTTTTTCATGTATTGGGCATGCCCTAAGTATGTTATAATAAACACCACACAGCACTGTATAATTGTGTACTGTCTTCCCCAGCCTCTGTCACAGTAAATGGGTTTTCCTTCTTATTTGAATAACGGTTTTCTCCTTCTGGGTCAAGAGATAGTTACAGCAGCAGCCAGTAGCATTTTATGCACACAGTGGGTAATCAAATACTATCAAATCCTCTGCGAGGGTTTTAACTAGGAAGCTATCTAAGGAACAAAATGAAAAACCGGAGGTTAATGTATGAATATGAGAATTTAAAATGCATTATAGATATCATTGTATTCATTTGTGAATATAAATATTGAAAGGATACATTAAGTATAGAAAAATGCTCCCTCTGATATTATTTATTCTAACACATTACAAAAGACTCCATTCACCACCTCCATTTCCACACAATTTTAAATTTTCTTTTACCTTTCTCTGTCTTTTAGTGACTGTTCAGCCATTAATTTCTTCAGTTCTTCTAGACGCTGAAGATCTCTAATTTCCATTTCTTGCCACTTCTGTTTTTTCTTAGCCCAGTATTTTTTAATCTATTGTATAAATGTTACATAAAATTTAAATTAACAACAGATATGTAAAAATGAGGGGAAAAGCCATAACCATATCCACTGGTTCATATTACAAAATTGAATTTAAATGGCACTTCATCTTTTTTGTTTCATAGATATGCTTATAATATATTGGCAACAGAAAAATAAATTAAAACATGAAGGTAGATGCCCTGAGAAACTGCAAGGTTTAACAATTTCTGCAATGAATGGAAATATAACTTGTGCTGAGACCTAAGGTTTAATCTATGGTTAAAATAATCAACTTTCCAGAGAACCACAATAAAAGTATGTTATTGTCTCTAAAGTATATGATCTAGCTGTTACTCAAGAATATTTTTATCTTTTTATGGTAATGCAGTCTTTAACAAATATAGCATTAAAACTATTTTTATTTTAAAAGCATTAGTTTATTTATGCTAATGGACAGCAGGATGTTGAAAGCTTTATGCTTCTGGGGAAGTGGCAGGAGATAGGTGGGAGGAAGGAGGAAAAGAGCAAATTAGCAGGGTTGTGGTATATAGTACTTCTGACTTATGTGGTAAAATAAAGGTCAGGCTTATCAAGTGCAAAAAGGTGAAAGCAATGTTAATAGTAGGCCTGTTTTACTTCCCTTTTCCAGAAATGTAAGCAAAATGAGAAAACCAGAAGTAGGTATGAGCTGTTTTCAGGGAGTTGAAACCCTTATTCAGGATTTCCCAGTGGGATGAGACAATGAATGTTTATTTGACAGAGGCCCTTTCCACCACTCTGGCCTGCCATGTTGTGCCTGGGTCAAGAGATTGGCTCTTGAAGGGGAGTACCTCAATGGTACATAGTGAGTGACTGGCAGCAGGGGTTCTATTGTAGAAGCTGGGCTAGCCCTACCCCCAAGGTGGCATTTCCTCTTCTGAGACAGAGGTGAATAGGAAAATCTAAGTAGTTTCCTAACTTGCCAACATGGTCTCTGATTTCTGGGAGAATCAAAAGAAGCATCCCAAGCACCATCGCCACAAACAAAGCAACTCTGCAGCCACAAGAGCAACATCTGTTCAATGTTTAATGAATAACTAAATAAGCCCAATGTGCAGTGATATCCACTCCAGATATGACAGAGCTCTGGATTTAGAGAGAACAGAGATAAAGCTAGAAAGGCAGCAGCACCCAAGATGGAGCGTGACAGAGAGGGTGGGTGCAGGAGAGAGAGGAAACATTGATTGACAAGGAGTGTTCTAGAGTCCTAACTGATAAATGCCAGGGAATTCTATTAATGACAGACACGGAAATGTTAGCAATGATTATGTCATCTCCATCTGGGAATTATAAACAAGCTTTATCTTATTATTTTCTGCATCACCTTATTTTTGCAATGAATCATATTTCTTTTATAATCAGAAAAAAATTAAGCTACTTCAAAACAAATTTTTTTAAAAGAACATATATGAAATCAAAGAGCATTTTTCTCTGGGTTAAAACAGACCAATAATATTTCCTTACTCCCAGCATTGGCCTTGGAGAAAGTCAGTGGCTCTTTTGCAGACAATCCCTTGACCACAAGCAGAGTAACCCCGGCTTGCTGGCATCCTCAGATTTCTGACACCACTTGATCACTTGATACACTGTCCTGTACAGGCCCTAGACATATGTTATACCTGGAACTTTCTGCAATCTCAAGACTAATTATTTCCATCTTTGACTCTCTGGTACCTTCAGACATTGCTATAGTATAAGTGTGCTCTCTCTCTCTCTCTCTCTCTCTCTCTCTCAATCTAATCCTTTTCAGTGCTTTCTACTGAGTCCTCTGGAACCCCTGTGTCATCATATGTAAAACTCCCCACGTCTTCAACCTTCAGAAAACTATTTCCTTGTTTTCGCTGAAATTCTCTGGAGTGAAGGATACTCATATTCTGATACCCTATGTGCCATTTGGCTGGGGAATAGCTTGGGCATTTTCCTCATTGTTAACTGCCTATTTCAGGCCATTGTGATATGTAGAATTCTTTCTCCCTTTGGTGTTAACACCACGTGGATATATCACCCTCTACCTGTTGTTTTCATTGGCATGTGTAAATTTCCAAGTCACTCCCAAATTTTCATCAAGAATTCAGATACTTTAGTCATAGTCTTCTCAAACACAGGCAACTTCGGCCTGTCTGAATGCCCTTCCAACCTTCCTAGACAACTTCAGCATCTGTCTGAATGCCTTCCAAACTGTTTTTCTCATAATTCGATGACTTCCTCCATTCTAGGGAACTTTCTCTTCCTCCAGAATTCTATTATCATTGAAAACAGTTCCAACTGGGAAATCCTGAATGATAGCAATAGACTCTGTGACCAGAACCTACCCTCCCATTTCCCATCATCCTCTGGTCTCCAGTTATATAATGCTATTTCCCTAGTGCATCTCTCATCACAAAGCTTTGCTAATTAATATACTTTTCTTCTCTCCCACTAGGCTGCAAGAATTGTGATATATTCAGCTAAAGTGTCTAAAACATAGCATGTACTTAATAACCATTTGATTAATGACATAATTGTAGGAACTAGTACTAAATTTATGGTTTCAATTTAATCTTCAATGACAATAAGCATTCCATTTATGAATTCCTGGACAATGCCTCTCAATTTCTCATAGTGATATGCTAAAACCTGTTCACTATGTTCAGCTCCATACCTGCTGCTATTTCCTCACTTTCATCAGAGCAAATAGAAGCTCTACAAGATACCTTTCTTAATGTTCAGCCCATCAGAAGAGGTATTCTTCCTTCTGTTCAAGACTAATGCCTCACATGGGCTGCAGATCCCATTCCCAATTCCACCTTCTTCATGGCCCCCCTCCTCATCTATCTCCTCCTCTCCCCTGTACCTTCAGCTTCTCGCTCTTTGCTGCTTCCTTCTCACATGGAATTAAACATAATTTTATCCCATTACAATAATTCATAAATTCTTTAGAACCCCAAGATTGTAGCATCATACATTTCATTGTTCCTCTTTGGGCAGGCATCTTAGCATACTTGCTTTCTCCCATGTGCACATCTTCTATTTCACTCCTCACCCATGGTATTCCTACCTCTGTGCTCCACTCCAAAGTCACTGCTCTCACTAGTGAGCTCCAAAGGATCAGATCAAATATCCTTTTCCATCATGATTTTACTTGACATCTCTGTGTATTTGATTCTATTAACCCTTACCTATAGTATTAAACCCTTATTGACTTTGGGACTTAGACATTCATTTGTTCAACAAGTATTTGTTGAGCACATGATACTGGTACTTAAAAAGAAATAAAGCCTCTCCCTTGTGGAACTGAGACTTTCTAGAAAGGGAGACAGATAGTAAATGAATGAATGAATGGAATATTACATGTTGTATTAACCTCTAAGAAAGGGATAAGTAGAGTGATGGTTTAGAAAAATTTGAGTAGAATTAGTAGAAGGTATCTTTTAAATGTCTTAAATAGGACATTTGGATGACATGACATTTGTTTGAAAACCTGGTAGGTGAGAGTGAAACACCTATGGGAAGAGATGAAGGGCAGTACAATGGGAAGAGGGTGCAACAGCATTGGATGGGGAAGACCTCACATATGTTGAGAGCTGGGAAGAGGCCAGGGAGCTGGAGCAGGTGGCATAGGTTAAGATTAGAAGCAAGATTGGAGAGCTGCATGGGGGTTAGATGATTTGGCCAGGATATAATTCTAGAAACAAGGAAAAGCCATTGAAGAGACTAAAGCAGACAGTAGCATGATCTGACTTATATTTTAAAAAGAAAGCTCTGGATATGAAGTGGAGCATGGGTAGTAGAGAAGCTAAGGAGAAACAGGGAGACCAGATAGAAGGAAAAGGCAACGCTGGTCCCTGGACTCAGGAGATGGATTCAAGTGTTCAGATCTGAGACGTGCTTTTGAGGAGAATCGGAGGGCTCATTGACAGATTCCAGGAGGGCTCATTGAGAGATTCCATGTGAAGATTGGAGGAAAGACTAATCAAGGACAATTCCTAGGTTTTTTGCTTGAACAGCTGGTTGAATGGTGATACTAGTAACTGAGATAGAAGATTGGGAGAATAATAGGCTTGGAAAAGGAAGAAAATTGAGAACTCAGTTTTGAACATATAACACTTGACAAGCCCATAAGACCTCTAAGTGGAGGGGCCAGACGAACATCTGAAGGCACAGATGGGTGGCTTAGGGGAGAACTCAGTGCTGGAGACCTAAATTAAGGAGATAGCCACATAAACAGTATTTGACACCAGAGGACTGGATGAGGTCTCCAGTATAAGGATGTAAACAGGAAAGAGAATGTGGTTATGCACTCTCATGCTTATTTGCTTTTCTGCACAGCTTTCTCTACTAGAATGACTTAATTTCCCTCTTCCACCTGTCAAACTCACTCTGTCTTTAAGATCAGAACAAATGCCACCTCCTCCTTGAATCTTCTCCTGAGCCCTCTAGAAAAACAGTAGCTCCATGCATGGCACTCCAATAGCTTATAGTTTATGACCCTCCTTTCTTTGACTACCTGCATTCCTTTACTTTTTTCATGAGGTTCTGCCCCTGGATCTTTACCAATATATTTGGGCATTTACTACATGCCTGGAAAGTTCTGCCCTGCCTTATTGCTTGGTAAATCCTTCCTATCCATCCTTTAAAGACTCAGTTTTAGCATTGCCTTCTCAGCCTTTTTCCCTCTCCTCTCCTCCAGACATAGCTAGCTGTACCTTCTAAGGCATTATTTGTGTATTCTTAGCATAGCATTTCCCATATTAATCTTCATTATTTATCTTTGTATCCTTAGTACATTGTATCATGTCTAACACATAAGAGGGTATAATTGTTCACTCTTAGGTGACTGGAAGCTTCTTCTGGTCTCCAGTCCAAGAATAACAAAGTTGTGCATGGGAACCAGAAGAGCAGTTTTCTTTTCAAGATGGTAAAGGCCGAACTAAGTACTTCCTAAGGACAGTTCCATTCACTTTTCATCAATTAATTCATCCTACAATGTA